TGATGTTAGCTGGGGTATGCTTGAAACTTTCATAAATAATAGGTCACCAAATGAGTTCTTTTAGCAGCACATAAAATGAAAATATGATTCTTACTACCATTTCCACAATGGTAACCTATACAGTCAATGGTAATGTCTTTTATTCCATCTGTCCACTTTTAAATAATTAAACAAAAAAGAGGCTAGAGTCTGGGAAGTACAGTAAGAATTTTTTGCTTTTCAATTCAAACCTGTGATTTCATCAGAGTGGGTATAAATTCCATCCACCAGTGAAGATTAGTAATGCCTTTGGCATTTATAATCTCAGAGAGCTACCTGGTCTTCTGGGAAGCTTTTATGACTTTTATGTTATAGAGACAAATCTTCAATTCAGTTCTTCTAGATGCCAAAGATACTCCCTGATAACTCATGTCATGGATATGGGAATGGACAAAAGTGGACAGCTAATAGGATCCTTGTTAGGGAAGATCTAGTTCATTTACAGATGAGGAAACCAAGGCCTAAACAAAGAGGTTAAGTGATTTGACCAAAATCATGCAGCTAGTATGCTTCAGAGTTCAACTTAAACCCAGGAGGAATGGAAGTTTCCTCTTATTTCATTTAAAGAAGAGTCATGTATTACTATTATTCTTGTGCACTTTTTCCCCTTTTCTTTTCATAAAACTGATTTTGTTCCCTGACTGATTTCTTCTCTCCCTTCTTTTACTCTTCAGAATATTTTAAGGACCCATATTCTTTTTCTCTTTTTGCATCAATTTCTGACTCAGTCTTGGTCTTCCTTCTTCCCCTGGATCCTGCTCCAAATCCCAAAGCTCAGACATACTTGTTTTTTCAGGGAATGTGAGAGTTTGGTGGGCATGATGACACTGATCACTGTCCATACACATCTCTAAAACTGCTGGAATGAGTGTGTGGGGACTAGGCTGGGTACCTTTCCCTTTTCCTATTCCAAAGCTTTCAGAGATCACTCTTCATTATTGATCTTTTTTTTTTTTTTCACCTTGAGGGCCATAATGAAGCTCAACATCCAGTAAAAATGGCTTACTGTGCTGGGAATCTTCAAACGCTTTGCTGGGATATCCTTGCCAAATGGGATTTCCTGAACTGGCTTCTAAAGACGTCAGGAGAAGGGCACATTCATAACAATTCTTGGCTTAACTATAGCTATCCTACTCAATAACGTCAGATGTGACTTAAGTGAAATGTAACTGGGAATATTAAAGAGCTATAACAAAATGTGCAGAAGAGAATAGCTAGACATAATTTTATTATAATAATAATAAAAACTTACCCTGTGAGCACCAAATGATTGCGTTAGAGAGGCAAAGGAACAGTCTTTTAGTTATCTCAGGTCGTTCTTGAAAGGTCTAGGCCTAATAAAAATTGCACAGGAAGTAATCTGCCTTCATGTTCCCTCTGACTTCTCCTCCCAAACCTTCAGGGACACATGCAGGATCTCTTTATAAACTGTAGCTGCTTAGGCCCTCTCCTCTATCTCATTACCTCCCATGGACTCAATTATCACCATTATTCCGATGATTCCCAAATCTATAAATTCAGTTCTGGTATCTTTCTTAAGTTTCAGTACAACATCATTTTGGACATTTCAGACTGGTTATCCCACAGACATCTCAAACTCAACATATACAAAACAGATCTCATTTAGCCCTCCCAAAACCATCCCTCCTCCCAACTTCCTATTTCTGTTGAGGGGACCATCATCCTTCTAGTTCATGACATCACTTCTTGCAAGCTTGTCTACCTCAAAAAAAATTTTCCCACATTCCAAACATAACTGCCCTCTATTTTGAGCCTCTTAGAGTCTTGTTCTCTGAAAATCTTATACATATTGAATGGTGGGAAGATAACAATGTTTGGAGTCAGAACATCTGGGCTCAAAATATTCTCTTGTGGCACATCATCATTCATGTCATGCCCACTAACAAATGGGCATCCCCCAAGGTTCTGGTCTCATCATTCTTCTTTTTTCTCTCTCTGTATTGTTTCACTTGGTGTCCTCATCAGCTTACAAAAAGGTTCTCTATGAAGATGATTCCCAAATCTCAATCTCCATCTAGTCTCATTTCTGAGTTCCAGTTTTACCTGCCAACCACCAATAGAAAGCTGAAGTCCCAGAGACATTTCACAATCCACATGTGCAAAACAAAACTCATTGTTTGCTTTTTCTCACACCCACCCTTCTCCCAAACTCCTCTATTTATGTCAAAGGCACCATCAACTTTCCAGTCTCTCAGGTTTGCAACCTCATTGTCCTCCTGAATTCCTTATTTTTAACCTACACAATCAAGCAGTTGCCAAATCATCTTGTTATTTCTTTCTCACAACATCTCTTATATATGACCCACTCTCTCCTATCACATAGCCACCACTCTCGTTTAGGCCCCCATAATAACCCTCTAGGTGATTTCCCTGACTCAAGTCTCTCCCTACCATCATTCATCCTCCACAGAGCTTCCCAAATGTTTCTTTTTGTAAGGCACAGTCTGACCAAGTTCTCAAATCAAATAAACATTCTTATATTTGACATTTGAGGCTCTTCAAAATTTAACCTCACCCTACCTTCCCATTTTTTTTACCCATAAGTCTCCTCCATATTCCATAAGATATAGACATACTGGAATCCTTGACATACCTCACACACATCATTCTATCTTGTATCATTGTGGTTTTGTCCTGGTCATTCCCTAGGTCTGGAATGCTCTTCACTTTCATCTCTTAGGTTTCCTTCAAGGCTCAGCTCAAGTGTCATCTTTTTCACTAGGCCTTTGCTGGACCTCCCAGTTACTAGTATGTCTCAGCACCAAGGATACTTGCCTTGCATGCTTGTTTGTTTGTTTGTTTGTTTCTTCATATATGTGTGCATATGTCGCCTTTGAATGTAAGTTCCTAGAGGGCAGGGACTTTGGTTTGTCTTTCTAGACTAGCTGGTCTCTGAGGTCTCTTCCAACTGTAGATAAATAGTCTTATGATTTAGATTCAAATATTTGCTCTCTAACTTGTTGCTGTTTTTCAGTCATTTTCAGTCATATCCAACTCTTCGTGACCCCAATTTGGGGTTTTCTTGGCAAAGATACTGGAGTGCTTTGCCATTTCCTTCTCCAGCTCATTTTATAGATGAAGAAACTGAGGCAAACAGGGTGAAGTGACTTGCTCAGCATAGCATAGCTATTAAGTGTCTGAGGCCAGAAATGAACTCAGAAAGGTGAGTTTTTCTGACTCCAGATTTGGCACTCTATCCGCTGTAACTCCTAGCTGCCCCAACATACTCTGAAACATACTATGTATAATCTTTGGCAAGTTATGGAACTTGTTTGAGCCTTTATTTTCTCTTGTGTAGAATAAAGAGTTTGGACTGGATTGTTTCTAAAGTCCTTTCTTGTTCTTGATCTATGATCTTATCAAAATGGGAAGTAAATAAAATATTCAGCATATATACAGATTTTCAAAGGCGTGGATATTTAATAAAAGTTCGATGAATTGAAATGAATTAGGTCAAACATGTGGCCCCCTTCCCACCCTCAGTCTAAATGCTCACTTTAAGTACACATACACACATCTTTACACACACACACACACACACACACACACACACACACACACACACACCCAGGAGTATTCCACACTTGTAGCAGGATTTATATTTTAATGAAATTCTGGTCTAATAATCAGAGCCACTGCTAGGGCTAAGAGATTGAGACACTATACTGATTCCCTTTTCCACAAAGATGCCTCTCTGTTCCTAACCTGGGCATTCTGTCCAATCAGGTTCAATTTTGGGGGGAACTTGATCTCTAATGAGAGGCATACTATGCTTCATTTCCTCTACTCTTTGGTTTGTTAAACGCCTACTTAAGTATCCCAAGGACAACTAAAAAACAAAAAACAAACAAACAACAATAGAAACCTTCAGTTTTTGCTCGTGGACAGGACCTCACCCCTAAAAGGTGGGGGTATGAAAAAGTAGAAAGGAATTCAATGTACAATATAAATGAAATACAGGACAGACACATTTTATCCCTTACACAAAGGAAATAGTAAACACAAAATGCAAATCTCATTGAAGAATGACTTAAAACAGGATCCAACAACTTAATGTATAACTACAATTCTAATCTGTTGACACTTACAACTCCTCAGAACATAAAGCAGTCTGCGGGATTGTTGATTAGGCATTTTGCATTTCACCCCAGTTCTACAGTATCCAAATAACTGCTTATATATGTCTGCTAGGAAAACAGGCAATTATCTAATCAGTGGTTGTCCTCTCTTATGCAAAAGCATCTGTGGTTTTCAGCCAGCTGTTCTCATTAGATCCAGGACTCCAGGACCTCTTGGACCCATCTTCCTCAGGGCTAAGATTCAGTTACCTACAGAGGAAAGGCAACATAAAGGAGAAAAGGCAAGGGCCAGGGTGCAAGTCCAACCTCCTTGTTTTCACAGATGAGCAAACTGAGGCACAGTGCTTTCTGGTGACTTGTCCAGGATCACACATCTAATAAAGAGCTGAGGTGGCATTTCTATCAAGTCTTCCTGGCTCCAAGTCCAGTACCTTATCCTTTTAACCTTGCTGTCTCCTTCATTACCCTGGCATAATGACAAATCTAGACATTTTGAGAAATTTGTTGTAATGGCATTCAAACTTGAGCAGTAAATGAACTTTTTCTTACTTAGGTTGCTTTCAACAAATCCTAAAGGATCTTTCCCCCTCCCCCACACCATTTTTTAAAAAGAGGCCTTTGCCTTTAGATATACAAGGAGCCCAGGCCTTGAAGAAACATTCTAGTCATGCAGCTTTCTAAGGAAACAGTTGTTGCCCTGTAAATTGATACATACGCCTGGTAACAAATCCTATGCATCTAGCTATTTAACCATATACTGCCTCTGGCTGAAAACTTTTCTGCATTTCCAAGTTCTCTTTAAATAAGCTGATAGCTCCCTAGAGGTTTAATTCAACACTTAGGTGTTTATCATGTTTTCAGGATATGCTAAACCGGTGTGAACCTTCTTTGCTACTTGAGGTGAGAGTGAATGGAATGGACAGCTGATCTATCCGTGGGATTTCAGGTAAAGTCTATGAGCCTCTATTTTTTTTGATTGTGCAAAGGAACTTCAATCATGTTAACATCTCATACATTTCCCACGATACGTGTTTTAGAGTCAAGTTTTTGGATGCAACAAATGTAGCACATGAAGTCAATCATACTGGCAAAAGCTTTGGCTTTTGCTATAAAGCTGTTGCTCATAATTCTTAAGTGCAAAAATGCAGTTTGGGTTTTTTCTAAGTAGAAGAGAGCTGTCCTTTGTGGCTAAGCGATACAGTGTGAGCTTTTTTGTACAGCAGATATTTGTATGTAGAATCATGTTTTCCTATTTACTTTCACTATTATTTCAAATACATGAAGCCTCTCATCCAGGAAATATATTATCAGAAAAGGAAATGGGCGGGTCCCATGCATAGAACAAGGGACTGCTGGTAGATAGCTATGTGCTCAATTATTATCCTGAAGCTATCAGGAGATTTTTAAGAAAGGTTTCCAATGCTTATTTGAAACCCCTATGTTTATTTTAGCACAAGATACAGACAAGAATTGCATAGGATGGGCAGATGTCAATGGAATTTCAATCTACATGGTTGGGGATAATAAGCACATTGATGAAATCACAGCATCCATTAGTGTTTTGTAGTACTGAAATATTCCCAATATGTAGTCAAACTAAAAAAAAAAATCCAAGCATTTACCTTAAGGGAAATTCTTCCTTTGTAAATGTGAAACTGACATGTTTTTAATCCTTTTTAGATAAACCTCTGAAAAAAATAGGTCAAATGGCTAATCAATCCTATATAATCTTCTCACACGTATTTAAAAATTCACAAATATTGAAATACTCCAAATTATTCATTTAGAGGCAACATGGAATGATGGATAAAGACTTGGAGTCAGAGTGAGAAGGAGGTAGGTTCAAAATTTATTGCTGGCATATATAGGCTGGTCAACCCTTTGGTGCTAGGCCATTCTCTAGGACTATAGGCTGAAGAAGATTTTACTCACCTGGTATCCCCTAAACCAATAAAAGCACAGATCCATGCCACCTCACCCACTAAAAATAATAATTCTAATGCCAAATAGAGCTTTCCATTTCTTCAATTCAGTTGGGTATAATGTGTAGTTAGCCATAATGGTGATGCTAGTTATCCAAGAATTTTTCTGAACTCATTGTCTGGACGAGTCATGGGAAGATATAAATATTTTTCCCCCTTTTCTTCGCCCTTCCCTTTGCTATGTAATGAGAGTCCTTTTTAGCAACGTATGGTATACATACTCTGCCTTCCCTTCAAGTCTGCAAATTCAATTCTATCATGATTTATTACTATGTAACCAGGGAAACAAACCAACATCAACTGAGAGTTATGTAGAACTTTCAAATCTACAAAGCACTTTACATACGTTAGATTATTCGATCCTCATTCACATCAATCCACAAGACAATTATTACAATGATTATTACCTTCATTTTACAAATAAAGATACTGAAGCTCATTGAAGTGAAGAGATTTGCCCAGGGTCACAAGTTACCAAATCTCAGTAAAATCAGGCCTTCGTTGACCTCAAATTGAGGGTTGTTTTCTTACTGCATCATAATTCCACTTCATAAGAAAATCTGAAGATGAAGATATCACTTTAACCTGGACTGCAGGACTCAGGAAGTCTTACTTCCCAGAATCAGGCCTTGTGGCTGTGAGGTGGAACAGAATCTACAGGCAAGGAGGACAATCCAGAAAAAAGGATGGGGGCGGGGTTGCTTAGTTAGGGTTGTGAAAATGTTAGCAAATAGGAAGGGGTGGACAGGAAAGCATATTGTTGAGACTGAAGATACAGGGTGTTCCGATTTACTGGATGTGGAGAGTGAGGGAGATAGAAGAGTCAGGTGTATAGCAGGCCTAGATCATGTTTCTGTGTTACTTTCAGTGTAAGAAAGGAGTGTTATCCAGACTGAGGGACATTGACCATACCAATTAGATTCCTGCTGGATTTTATTAAAATGTCTAAGCTGTTGCCTTCACTAAGATAAATATAACTGAGGGTAGCCCTTTATCTGGAATTTGATCTGTTATAAAATAGGGATATGAATAGGGGCTGGCCCTGTGATTTCATTGAGATAGGGAGCTCCGAGATGGCCGGCTGGCAACTTCTTTGTCACTTATAGCCTTGGAGAGTTGAGAGGCTAAGTAGCTTTTCCAGAGTCACACTTAGCCAGTCTCTGTCAGGGGTGGATCTTGAACACAAGTCTTTCGAGCTCTGGGACCAGCACACTATCTTACTATGATACAGCTGCCTCTTTGTTAAATATGTTTCATTAAAATCCCATTCATGGAATTCTATACTAACTCACCTGTCACAGTGACTTCTCAACCTTTGAGCACAGTAAAGGGATGAGATAATAGTAGAAATTAGGGAAAACTAGTAGACAGAGTAGGAAAACCCTCTGTAAGAAGAACAAGAAACTATTCTAATCCAAGCACATAAAGATTAAAATCATAATATACAGTGTGCTTGATAGCTTTTATAAATCAAATCCACATTTATTTGAATATGTAAGCATGGAGGGTGGATTTTGTTTTGTAATTTAAAAAAAATTAACATTCTGAGAAGCACCTGTCAGTTTGTACTTCTATTCCTTCCAGTCTTTGAAAAATCTCAGAGTGAGAAGAAACCTCAAGTGGAATCAAGTCAAATTCCTGTCTGAAGCATGAATGATCTCTACAACACTCATGAAAAGAGGTCATCCAGCTTCCAGTGGAACACCTCTAATTACAATTACACTTCCTTCTAAGGCAGTCCATTCCACTGGTTTTTGGATGGCTTCAATAGTTAGGAAGTTCTTCCTTATATTGAGCCAAAGTCTGATTGCAAGTAACTTCTAATCATTGCCCTGAGTCCTGCTCTCTGAACCTAGTCCCAGTAAATTTAATCCTTCCTTGGGAAGTCCTCCAGTTTTTCGTTGTCCCTCCTAAAACGTGATGTCTAGAGCTGAGCACAGAATTCCAGATGGGATCTGGCCAGGGCAGAGGAAGACTGTCAACCTCCCACCTCCTGGCAACTAGACTTCTCCTGATACAGCTTACAATCACATTAGCTTTGTTGTCTGCCTCAGCCCGCTGTTTAACTCATATTGATCTTGTAGTCACTCCACTGAAAGCCCCAGAGATTTGCACATAAACTATTGTCTAGTCAGCACATACGGTAATGCATGTTGAGTACTTTACATTCATTGAAGTATTATAAGATGTGTCAGTAGTTATTTTTGTTGTTTTCACCTCTATCATTCTCCAGGACTCTGGCATCACATACTTTACAGTTGATTTGTTTTAACCCAGATGCAGGACTACATATTTATACCTCTGAAGTGTTATCTCCTTATATTTAGCCAAATATTCCAGCATATCTGAGAACATCCATCTCTCTATCTGATCCACTCCATGTTTTGAATCTTCTTGACAAGTTATTATTTCTCTTAACAGCATGCTCATAGCCATGGTTCACCACCCCCCCTTTTCTGAATAGGGAAAACTCATCTCTATTACCCTATTTGTGATAAGTTTTTTGGAAGAGAGGCTGCTTGGGTACATGCATATCACAGACCAGGTAACATTTTCAGATGATTGCTATTTGTGTTTGAGCTATCCTTCTCTTCCTTAAATAAGCTGCACATAGTCTGTCTACTGGGAAACATAAGTGCTTAAGTGATATACCAGATTGTGCCATGGCTACCAAGAATGAATTGTACAATAGGAGAGGTACGGTAGAAAGTGAATGATAGAGCCTTCTTAGATTTCAAACAGTGGTTCTTCAGGGGCTAGAGTGACTCATATGGACTTTGTAGCTAGGTATCTATCCTAATAAAGGCCATGGGTCCAGATATTATTATCCCAGTGTCTTAAATTGGATAATCTCTTGGTCCAAACCTTGACAAATTTTCCAAGCACTGACTATCAGAATGTATCCTGGATAGGCAGTGTTTGATTTTCTACTGTGGGTACATTGGCTTCCCTCAAGGGATTTCAGGTTGGTCTTGTGCTTATAAATGACCTGCATCTTTCTAAAAATGCCACTTGTATAGCAGGGTCACCATGCCTTCATTTAAAAAACATACCAGTCAGGACAAGAGTAGATAGTTTGTATATTGTGCTACTAATAGAAATGAAACCAGACATGTTGGTTTTCTGGTCCCTTCCTCACCATCTGACTTAACTAATATTGTCATTGTGTTGAATTTGCCACATGGTAAAGCACTGAACCATATTCTTTTGGGTATGAAGTTATACAAATTAAAGCAGAACATGAAGGTATATTTTTTTTCTGTGAAATTTTAGGAGATATGAGGGAAACAGACAATGAATTGGCAATGAATTACTGGCATGGCAACAGTTTAAATATAAAATGTTTGTGTATACATGTATGTATGTGTTGATATAAACATATCTAAATCTATATACATATATATATCAAGTGTACATTAAAAGTTTGTTAAAATTTTAAGTAGATATCAGTATAGTTATAGATAATAAATGTGCATATATACATAAAGATACATGTGTATACATATTGTATATGTATGCAAATATACATGTTGAACACATATCTAGGTAAAATTATAGCCTTTTACCTCTGCATGCAAAATTATCATTTCTATTAGTAATGAAAATAAAATCAATGGTCTAATTGTTATTTTATAGGTATGCTTTTAACCACATGATAATGATTAAAACAATAATAACACATGACTTTATAGTGTAGATTTAATATTAACATGAATAAAAAAGGTCTGGTACAGTGTCAGAATTGATTAGTTTGTTTTTTTTTAAACTGGTTTGATTATCTTTATTGGTCAAATGGACCAGATGATCACTAAATTTCTTTTTGATGTGGGTTTGTATAAACAGCTTTTTTCACTTAGTAGTTTTCTTTCATTTTTCTTGGTTTACTGACTCATGGAATCACAGAACAGGAAGGGTCCTCAAGTGGATGGAAATCGGTTGTTTCTTTGAAGGAAGACTATGAAATTCAGTGTGATGGTTTTCTGGTTTACTTCTAATCTTGAGTAGAAGTGGCTCCTTACATTGCTACTTGCCCCACAGCAAGCGCAAAAGGCATGAACATTAAAGCCCTTTACTCTGACCGGGGCACATAAAACTTGTGTACAAAGAAAAGCAGAGGACATTCACATCTGCAGATAGGGTTAGTAGCCAATATATCTTATGATCTTACGAGAAAGACACACTGCAAGCAAAGCTTAACATTAAGATCAATGCAATGTGTACCTAAGGGGGATGGGAATGCAGTTAATGAGACTGTCAAGTCAGTCAACTTGCATTTTGAAGTGCTTACTCTGTGGTAGGCATCATACTTGATGTTGGGGATACGAAGAGAGAGAAAAGAATGGCCTTGCCCTGGGGAAACTTATATTCTGATAGGGGAGAGAACATGCCAGCAACCATGTACATGTAAGATATATACAGGACAAATAGGAGGTAATAGGAAGGCATGAACAGTGTACAGTTATCCCTTCCATGTCGTGACTTTCTCCATTACAGTTTTAATATAGCGAAGGTTGGCATAAGAAATTAAATGAGAATTTTGGAGGAGTTTTGCAGAAGCTGTAGATGACATGTGAAGGCCAACAGACAATACAGAAAAAGAAAACTCAGAAACGCATAAAACACGTGTATAGCATTGTATAATATCAACATCTTTTATCTTTTAATACAATAATAAAGCAGATTTCTTCTCCAGTATGAAGCAATAGCTATAACATTTTACATGGATTTTTCAGATCACCAGAGTGCCACACCCCTAACACCCAAGATGTAGAAGGGATAAAACTATATAGCCAGGAAAGGGCTCTTGCAAAAGATAAGATTTAAACTGAGTTTTGAAGGAAACCATGGAGAGTAGGAGGCAAAGTTGAGGAAGAGAACATTTCAGACGTGAGAGAACAGCCATTAAAAGGCAAGGAAGCAGGACATGTGCAGTATCCTGTGAAGATGAACAAGGAAGCCAGTGTGACTAGATCATAGAGTATGCATAAGGGAGCAAAGTGTAAGAAGACTGGAAGGGTAGGAAGGGATATGTTTGTAAAGGATTTTCAAAGTCAAATAGAGGATTTTATTCCTTAATTAAAAATTGGTTGGGCCTGTCCTCTGATTCAACTATTTCCTGCCTGAGATAAATAGACAGACATGCCTTCCTAAAACCTTGATAATTGAATGAGGAAAGATGGGTTTCCCAATGACCCTAGTCTATTTTGAATGCCAACTTTCCCTTCCCCAAATTTCTGTTCAAGTGGACTACCTACATAGGGCCTTTTTCTTATCCCCTAATTGCTAGCACCCTGTCCCTCAAATTAGAATGTTTTTTGGAGGATCTTCTTATTTGAGTACATGTTTATCCACATCTTACCCTGGGTGAATGCAAGTTACTTGAGTTGAGGGACTTTTCCATGTTAGTATTTGAATCTCCTATACCTAGCACAGTGCCTGGCATATAGTAGGTGCTTAATAAATGTTTGAAATATTGAATTCTACCATCCCTAGGACATTAGAAGAATAAATTTTAGTGAGTTCACAGTCCATTTCTGAAAGGATATTTATTCTTGATGTAGCCTCTTTCCAAAGGTATAATGTCCTTGATTTTGCTTTCTTTCTTTTTGACAGAGGCTACCCATATGACTCCTGGCAACATTTCTTCCTGGGGTGTTGTGTAAATGTTTATCATACCACTGGTATGCATGAATACCTAGTGATTCCTGGATTATTCAGTTTCATTAAGCCACTTTAAATCTGGTAGTATCTGGTCAATTCAGTCAACCTAGTGGGCAGACCAGTAATCCCTATGGTTGCGTGAACATTGCCAGGATTACCATAGGAAGAAAACAATCTTTTAAACCTATTGACAATTTTTTTTCCAAGAAAAGGGGGACACATATAAGCATATATGTAGGTTTTTAAGAGTTGATTTTCATGTTTTTTTCAACAAATAAATTAATCAAAACATGCATATGCAATTTTGATTTTGTGTGTTGATTATTGAAAGTACAGGATTTTAAGCATCGAGAGTGGTAAGTATTATACCCAGGAGACCTAGATGAAGGCATGTATTTGAAGTACCTCAGGCAACTCCTTAGCATTTGTCTATTAAATCCTATACAGGTGGTAAACTGAAATAAAATGAGATGAAATGAGATAATATTCGTGAAGTCTTTAGCATAATGTCTGGCACATAGTATGTGCTAAAATGCTTGTTTCTCACTTTCCTCCTTTAAAGGAGGGAATCCCTCATGTTGACAAAATCACAGATCTGTCCTTATTCTTGTATTGAAAGCCAAGATAACAGATAGGGAACGCATTGGAAAGGTTGAACTATGTAATGAAGATCTGTGGCACTTTGAAAATGTCTGCCTAAGATACATAAAAGTCTACAACAATATGCTTCCTATAACAGTGAGGATTTAATGAGCACTCCTAAAACTGCTAAAGCTCCTAATATTCTGTATCATTCAATTTCACAGACTGGCAGAACTGCCATCCTTCTGTTCATAATTTTATATTGACTGTTTAAATTTTTTTGACATGAACCAAATTTAGATTTTATTGTAGCTGCATAAATATTTAATTTTGGTGAACTCCTGGATGTTTTAATATTTCTGGTCCATTTGGTTCTAAATGTCTCCTGTATATCTTCAAAATCATAATGCAACATTCCAGAGAATGGAATAAACTACAATAGTAAAAATAGATTGAAAATGGGATGGTCCTTCAAGACAGAAAAGATTCAATGTAGGAGTCTTTTAACATGTTTCCCATAAATCTAAATAAAGTCTTTTGTTGCAGTTGTATAGTGATAGTAAAAAGAAATTTTGGAAAGCAAATTGTTTCCTTGCTTAGTGTATCTGAATAATGGACATCTATTTAAATGGCAGATGTCTGTATATTTGCATGTGAGTCTAGACTGTTGTCCATGTTTAACAGCTACTTCATGTTGGAGTTTACCCAGAGGATCCCCAAAGTCTTTAACTGTTAAACTTAAAAATGCATTGATTTAGGGGTAGTGAAGTGGTACAGTGGATAGAACACCTGCCCTATAGTCAGGAGGATCTGAGTTCAAATCTGGCCTCAGATACTTACTAGCTGTGTGAACTTGGGAATTATTTAATCTTGATTTCTCAAAAAAAATTTGACTTTTGTGACACCACACACACACACACACACACACACACACACACATACACACGTAATATGTCTATATGTATACACATTCAAATGTATGCATAAACATATATATATATCTTATGTGTATATATGCATATATTTCACATCTTTCAAATCTATTTTCTCCACTATGAATATGATTTCTATTTAACAGTTGAAACACTTAACATTTTAAAATATTAATTAAGTTTTTGGTCTTTTCAGTTTTTATATCTAAACACATTTTCTCCTTCCCTAGGCAATTTTGTTTAAATAAAACTGGTTTTACCACTCTGTTTTCTTGTCAGATTCTCTCAGAGGGAAAATTAATTGAAATACAAAATGGAAGAGCTAAAGAAAACAAACAAACTACAGTGGGTCCCTCAGGTTCTTCCATTTTGGCCAAAGCTGTTTCCGCTGATGAATAAGAGCCGCCTGCTTGCTCCATGCTATGGCTGCTGCTCGCTGCAGTGGATGTCTTTGCTTAAGGAATGTCTCAAGAAAAACAAACTGTGCTTGTAAGTTGTGAATTCCAGAAAAGAGATGAGGTGAATTCTCCCTCCCCTCTCCTCCCCTCCTCTCCTCTCCTCTTTCCTCCTTCTCCTTCCTCTTCCAAAGAGCAGGGTCAAATTGAACAGGAAGGGAACAGGGTAACGCAAGAGAGTAACTCACTCTACCATTTTACAGCTTCTGATTTTAACTAATTAATCCTTCTAACTTCTTGTTAAACTTTTTCGTTTTTATGAAGATGAAGGATTAGAAGTGCTGAGATAATTCTCAAAATTTGATGCCTTGAACACAAATCTCATGTTGCCTCACCCTAGTCAGGCTCTAAAATTAACTTTCCCTTCTGGTCGCAAGACATCCACAATGGCTACAAGCATGACATCTGTTTCTTCATCCAAATCATTATTTAAAATATTAGTCCCCCTCTTTGTCTTTCCCACATTCTTGTCTAGGGTGTGAATATTCTCTAATTTATAATAATTACATGACTCAACCCATATGCCCTCATTTTTCATCCTCTTTTTCAACATCATATGATCCAAAAGGTCACTCATTAGGTTATTGATTAATTGCATTCTTTATTGCAATGAAAATGAAAAATTGATGACTCGAATATTCCTATGTAATTGTTGTTCCTAGGAAGATCTGAAATCTCAATTTCTCCTACCCAGGCTTCTGGATCTTAGGTGTGCTCAATAACATTGTTGGTTAGGGATCACCCTCTAATGCTCTGCCTCCTTGCCAAGCATTTTGGTCTAAAAGGTAAAGGATTTGAGGCAGTTGCCACATGGGCTTATCTCATTCACTTCCCTCCATCTGACTGCTCCTGTATTAAGTAATCACCTCTCATTTCCTTCATGAACTCTTCAGTGTCCTTTTAGCTGAAAGCTTGATAATGCCACTATAAGATACTGTGAGCATTGGCCTTATAATCAAGTACTATCTTGGATTCTTATCCTACTGGCCTCTTTAGCCTTTTTTCCTCATACTTCTTATAAAGCAGAGGCTTTATGTATGTCACAAAGCCGCTAAAACCCACATATCCTATATCCTACTCTTTCTTGAACCTAAAAGATGTAGGGAAACCATAAAGTAGGGAAAAAGAACCAAAATAAAACACAAACAAAAATAAACCTATCTATGGATAAGTAATTTAAATTCCCTGGGCCTTAGCTTTCTCATCTATGACAAGGATTCAGGACTAGATGGCTTCTACAATCATTTCCAGCTCTATATCAATGATACTGGGCTCCCAGGTCTGAAGGAAAAAAATAGATTTAAACAGAGGTACCTTTCTTTATGCAGGTATTCTATCCCCTAGAATGATATAACCTTGCATAGCATAGGGACCCATGATTTTGAAATCTTTGTAGTTCCAACACTTAGCCTAGTGCCAAATACAGCAATGCTTATATACATGTTGTTAAGTTGAATATAGAATTGAAATCTGTGCTCTTTTTGTGCCCTAAACAAAACCAAAATAGAAAGAAAAATACCTTTGTTATTGGCCTTAACTATGCAAGTGTATGTATGGGCCAAATTCAATTAATGCTAGGCTCAGTCAAACCAACATTCCTTCTCCAAGTTCATCTACATCAAAGCTAAGACTGTCCACTAGAAAGTTAAACAATTCATCAGGAACTCAGTTTTTAATTGAATGAGACTTCTAGCCAGTGTCTAGGCTTTTGAAGTCCCTCATCTCTCCTGCGCTTTATTCTTATATTATTTTTGTGATCCATTTCCTGAAAACATCATTCATTTCCTCCATGTGACTTGGTATCTTTGGTATATTCGGACAATGGTATTACTTTTATTGCTTTGTCTTTTGATCCTCACCCAAAGGATCTGTATTATTTAAACTACATCCCCCCCCATGAGTTTGTAGATTTTTCACTCAAGCACATATACATCTTTATACCAATTTATCTACATGTCTATATCTATCTATACATATACAACACATATGTATTCTTGACCTATAGGGCCACTTAACTACAACTTTTATAAAATCTGGTTTTTCTTTTCAAATAAAGCATAGCCTTTCATTGATATATTCCCATCAAGAGCTAAAATATCTAGAGTATGTGTGTGTGTGTGTGTGTGTGTGTGTGTGTGTGTGTGAATTTTGATTGGTAAGAAATTGAATAAATAAATAAACTTTCTAATGTCATTTTAATTATATTATATTAGAAGAAATTAGTATTTCTCTACTTATTTGTCTTTATTTCTATGAAGTATTTTGTAGTTGTAGTCATATAATTCCTATACGAGTCTTGGCATGTAGTTTCCCAAACATTTTATACACTCTCTAGCTCTTTTAATGGAAATCTCTTTTTTTTTTCTTCTTGATGGATTTTGTTGGTAATATAAAGGAATTCTGGTGATTTATGTATATTGATTTCATATCCTGTGAATTTGTTTAGGTTAATTATTTCAATTAATTATTTATTTCATTATCTAGAATTCTCTAAATACAACATCATATACTTCCTCACCTTAGACACTTTACTAGTTCTGTGATTATGGGCAAGATATTTAACTTTTCTCAGCATCGATTTCATCACCTGTGAAATGAGGGAGTTGAACTTGATTTCTGTGAAGATCTCTTCCAGCTCTAAATCTATATTCCTGTAAGTCTATGACTCAGAAGCTCTACCCAATGTACAGGAAGCTGATCTTGCATTCTCTTGGCATTGTTAGTATACTAGTGGAGAACTCAGGCTGTCTACCTGGCATCCTTCACTCTTGCTATGTGACCAGCCCATATTATTTTCCTAGCGTATATTTCCCAGATGATGACTTTTATTATTGTTCTTCTAAGTTCTTCATTGGTTACATGTAGCACACTCCCACTTACTACAAGCCTCTCCATTACCCTCTGTGATATTAATTTTCAATTTTTTAAAATAGCTATATTCAATACCTCAAAGTCATACAATAGCACTGGTAAAATATTGCTACTAAAATTGGGCTTTCATTCTTAGCTGAATCTTGGGAGCATTGAAATATCTTTGCAACTTAATCTAGTCTTTATTAATCTGTTTTGTTTTATTAATTTTTTATTAATCTATTCTGTTGCATTTTTCCTTTTTAATTCTGGACCTGAGTGTCCATTTGTATGGTCTCTCCCAGATATACACATTGATAGACACACTCTTAAGATTGTCCATTCAACTGCATGTCATATTCTGGGTAACAGACGTTCTTTATCAGCTTGAATTTTTCCTATGTGGAAAGTCAGATCAAACAACTTTGAGTGTTTATAGATATCACCCCCAGGAGGATACACAGTTTTCATGGGCTTGATGGAAGTTAGCTACTAGAGAAAGAGTCAAACCTCAGCTGAAGAGTAGGAAGAGAGACTGCATCCACAGGACAGTTGGACCATATAAAACTAGTTCTACTCCGCAGGCAAACACCTCAAAACCTTATCTGCTGTTGCATAGACATAGGTTTTCAGACCTAAAATGAACTTAGAGATCATTTAGTCCATTATAAAGAGAAAGAAATGGAATCTCAAAGGGAGTAAAGTGACTTTCTCAAGGTCATATAATGAGTTTTTGGCAGAATTGGGACTGCAAATAAATTCCTAACTAGTGGTCTTTCAGTCATACTCTTCTGCCCCTCTACTTTCCTTTATCTTTCCGACTATGCGACATATTATGGTGTTTGGGCTGACTCACTGAAATGAATGAAGCACTTTTAGAAGTTCCCCTCAATCAATTGCTCAGGTTGCTTGGTTTGGTGAAGTTGTAATTTGCCAAAACAGACTTTGTACCTTGCGAGAGGGCATATAGGTTCCAGAAGTTCCCAGGGGTTTTGATAAACATTTGAAGGTTCTTATATAATATACACACAAAATATTTATATTTTATACCATAAATGCATATAATATTTGTATATTGCTATGTATAGTATATATACATACATGTGTATGTATGAATGTATATATACATACAACTCATTCACTAAGTAAATTTGCATGAGAGATCATAAGTGAAAAAAAGGGAAGTCACTGTACAAAAAGGTAAAATTGAAGCTTGAAATGTTATATGTGTAGTTGAAACATGTTTCACATTCTTTGGAGGGGTACTATTTTTCTTTTCATTAAAATAATTTAGGTAAATCTACTAAACTTATTGACTAGATCAGACCCAGTAGTACTGTTTTCTTAGATGATGTTACTGTGTTACAGTGCCCTATGAGGTTATGCGCTTGGGTTAATAGGAGACCTAAAGAAAAAATTGCCTTCCTTATCCCTTAAGGGCCTATGATTATGACACATTCTTTATGTTGTGATTGTTAAAGGAAACATTTATTCCAATACCTAATTATTTACCTTTAACTGAATGTTGTGCAATTTGCAATTGAATAGCTTTTCTTTATTGAAAGCAGATGTTGTCAGGAAATGTAATTCTGCATTAAGAGATTTAACTATTTTACTAACACCCAGAATTCTTTGTCCTACCTTTAAAGTTATTTCTAGTAAATTCATGAACATGCAATCTGAGTGAAAAATCAATTATTTATCTGTATGTTTCCTACTTTTCAACTGGGGACAATGTATGGATTAAATGCTCAGAAAAAAAATTGACTTTTTTTTAACTTTAAAAACAAAAACAACCAAACCGACCAAAAAAAAACCCCCCAAAACAAAAAAACCCACATTTTCCTTCAAGAATGTAAACCAATATATTGCATGAAATGCCCTTTCTAACTTTTAGTTGATTATTGTTGACATCTACACACCTGGGAAATTGACTTCTTATCAGGTTAAAACAAAAGAATTATAGGATTTTAGATCTAGGAGTCATACCTTAAAATCTCCTAATCCAATTTGTTTAAGTTGTTGTTTTATACATTAGAAAACCAACAAAACAAGTCTTTATGTGAGGTAAAAGAGATTTGAATATATATTACTTAATACAGTTGATGACTAGAAAAATATCTCATCTGCTAGTATCTGCAGTAGATGACATTCACCAAGTAGACCAGTTAGGTCAACTAAATTCCCAGGACACCAGAGAGTCAGAGAGTTTCAGAACATAGGAGGTCACTTGTGTTGTCACTTTCTTATAGTGCTTTGCA